CAAAAAAATAATAATAAATAAATAAATAAATAAAAATAAAAATAAAAAAAATTATTAAGTTAATCGGTGACCTTTGGAACTCGAATAAGTAAACTCTGAGGGGTGTTCTACATGTAATCGCCTAAAGCTGAATTGTTTGGGACTGATTAGGTTGAAAGTTCGCTACACGGGTTCCACAGAAAGTCATGAACTTAATAATTATAATAATAATAATAATAATAATAATAATAATAATAATAATAATATTATTATTATTTTATTATTATTATTATTATTATTATTATTATTATTATTATTATTATATATGTATAGCTATCCAAATAAAGCTAATTTGTGGCCTTTGAGGTTCGGGCGAGTAAACCCATAGGATCACTTTAAATCTAGCACACTAAGGTCATATGGTCTTAATGTGTTGGTTGGAAGTCCGTTACATGGATTTCAAAGAAAGCCATGAGCTTTATTTGTAGGAAAAACATAATTAGATAGTTTGTATATATTTATTGTTATAGTTTAATTGAATAATATATTTAGGAAAAATGCTTGGCTGCAAAAAGATTCTCTTGGACTTGGACTTGACCTTAGGACATTGGGACTGACTGTTAATTACTTTGACTGGTGTAAGTGGTTTGAAATTTGTAACCAATCTGGGTAAATTTTAGGGAATTCTTATAAAATATTTTTTAGAAAAAGATTGTTGTTAATCAACAAATAGCTGGAGTCGGTCATTGTTAGATTTTGTAAAACAAAGATGGTTGAGCATATTTTTGTCACATACATTTACACGAGAGTAAGACCATAATGTGTTCCATGAATTGACTTGATGCTATTGAAAGTGAACAAGTGTTGTGATCTTTGATTCTGTTGAGTTGCGTTGGGGAGCGGTCAAAGTCTTATTTCTATTGTCATATAATATTTTGAGACAAATGCCAAGTTGACTCAAGGCACGACAGATACATTCTCAACTATGCTACAAAAACGATGTTAATTGGGTTGAATCTTTTTCATGATTGTTTTGATTTTTGCATTAAGTTTCAAAAGGTTCTTGATTTTGATTTTTGTTTCTTTTCTTTTCTTTTATTTTCTCCGCTCTAGAATTTTCTTTTTCTTTCTTGAGGACAAGAAAGGTCTAAGCTTGGGGAGATTTGTTAGGTGCAATTTGTGCACCTTTTTTGCACACCTTTTAGTCTCATTTCATGCATCTATTTAGCATAATTGTTCTTCTTTTTCTTACATTTCATCATATTCATGTTAGTCTCTAGAACAACCTTATTTGCACACTTTCATGTCTTTTTCAGGTAAACCGGAGCTTGGAATACGCTTTGGGAGGTGCTGGGAAGCATTGGTGAAGTTTTCGAGATGATCGGCCGAAGAACGAAAAAGTTGGAAAAATCAAGTTTGGATTCGGAGTCAGAGGGGTACACGGGTCGTGTTGGATTTACACTGCAAAATCAACACGGACCGTGTGGACCAAAATGGGAGTTGTTGACCATGCTGAACATGGGCCGTGTCAGTTTAGTGCAAATTAACACGGGCCGTGTTGGCTGCTGAACACGGGTCGTGTCAGTTTAGCCTATTTTAACACGGGCCGTGTTCGACCCAAAAACAAACTTCTGGTAGTTTTCCCTATCTTTCATATTACAGGTTGAGGGCCATTTTTACAAGGACACAACATATCATAGCACATTTTGAGAGGGGATTTCGAAGGTTTTTGCAAGGGTTTGATCAATCATCATTTGGAAACATTATTTCTAGTATTTGTAAGTTGTAATTGCACATTATTTTCATCTTTTATTCTTGTGATCTTGTTCTAGCCATGTGTGGCTAGAAGCCTAGTTTCTCTAATTTCATGTTTTGACTTCTTGGCAGTGACTTCAATCATATGACCTGATGTTTGTTCTTAATTTCTATATAGTGAATTTGATTTTGCTTTAATCGAATGTTTGATTCTAATTGTGATTCTTATTGGCCATTTGAATTAGGGTTAGGTCATTCAAGTTATATCTTTTACAAAATCCGTAATTGTTTTGTGAAATTGAACAAGTAACAAACATTAAATTGATCTCTATTGAATGAATTTAGTGTAAATCTTATTCATACACTTTTACACTCCCGAGCTTGTGAGGAGTATTAGGTGTTGTTGGGAACATTCACATAAAGCTTCATGCAATCTTTTAATCTAATTCTAAGAGCTTGTTTAGATTAGGTTAGTAAGGTTAAGGTTAATCAAAGAGCTTGTTTTGGTTAATTAATGTGATGAATGGGAAGTGTTAGAGCTTGTTAACACTTTCATGTACCAACTTAGATAGAACTGAACGAATATTGAGTTATCTTTGAATCACATTGCTAAGTTGTCATACATGAAGTTGGAGCCCTTACAAATTCTGAATTTAATTCACTCATTTAGCTGATTACTTGTGTTTTTAATTTTTTTGTATAATCATTGCATTCAAAACCCCTTCTTTAATCTTTTGTGAACAAGTACCTTGCGCAAAGAGGTGTTAGACCGATTGTCCCGTGTCTCTGTGGATCGACCCTACTTGCCTTGTACTACCTTTTAGTGCAATATAGTAGTGTTCTTTTGGAGTATATTGTACCCCTTTATTTGTTGGGTTTGACACGTCTAACAAAATTGTCATTGTTTACATCAAGTATTGTATTTCAATATTACACGCCAAAAATATCCAAAATGTGATGAAACAAAACATAACAAAGTATCCAGGTTTTCTTGCTGACCAACCTGCTCAACGGTCCCTGAGAATACAAGTTAATTTAAAAAGGTCAACATATATAATGTTGCTGAGTTCATAAGCATGTTTGAGAAAAATGTTTTGTATTACTTTGTGAACACCAGAAAATCTGATATTTTCTAAAAAGAAACGGTTTGAAATGTTTGTGTCTGATCTTGTATTAATGCATGTGTGTTAATGTTTGTGAGAATAGAAAGAGAATGATCCCAGGCAACCCGATGTTGTCTGCGTAAGAGAATGTTGGAATCTCAACCCCTGAGGTTGAGTACCAACGCGTATAGGTTACCGTGTTATCCAAAAAAAAGGTTTCTCATAAATTTCATAACGTTAATTCCTCTAAGTGAGCCGTTATAACCATACTTGATAATGGAAATTTCGCCTGTCATGACGTCTGTTAGATGCCGACTTGTTTAAGGTACGGTTTGTCACTCTAGACTGGCCTAGTCTAACTGTAGCGAACAACTCAGATGTGGGGCGTCAGCCCCATATAGATCTATACACAAACTCACGTTCTTTCTTCGGAAGACTCTGGTTATAAATACAGGGTACGTTTGTACACTCATTTGGTGCCAAACGAAACGTCTCACTAGATCCTTAATCAAATTTTACGTGAATAAACATGAAATGTATATTCCATGGCCAATAAACATGTAAGTGAACAACTAAGGCCCATTAATCATGTAGATTATATTCCAGGCCCACGAGCATATTAGGTATATTCCAGGCCCAATAAACATGTAAGTGAACCACTAAGGCCCACTAAGCATGTAAGTTATATTACAGGCCCAATAAAAATATAAATGACGTAATTGATCTGTGGTTTGTTACGTTGGTTGTATAAGATTCGTTATTTACCAAAATGACATAAAAGCCGTTCTTTTTGTAAAAGATCGTTTTTGGTCCTAAAAATCGAAAATTTACATTTATGGCACATTTTTGCAAAAATGACATTTTAGGTCCTTTAAGGACAAAGTTTGCATTTATGGCTAGTTTTAAGTAAAAATAAGAGAAAACTGCAAGAAAGTCCCTAGGTATTTCCCGTATAATCGATTTAGCCCCTATATATATTTTTTTTTTGCAATTTAGTCCTGAATACCTGTAAACGTAATCAAAACGGTATATTTAATGGGTTAGCCGGTATCTAACTGATGTGGCAGCTTACGTGGAATTCATCATGTTAAATAACATCCTATGTGCCATTTAATAGGGCTAAATCAATGAATCGAGCTCGTCTTCTTCATTCGACAGTTAAAGGAGCGAACGATTAGGGCAAATTGGAAACATGAAATCGATGTCGAGTTCTTCAAGCACCAACATCAGAATGTGCTATTGTAGAGATATGGCTGGAATGTGTACATCATGGAATCGAAAGAATCCAGGTCGGAGGTTTTTTGGTTTCCCAAATTACATGGTATAGAATCTTCAAATCTCACTCAAATTCTTCCAATCCTCTAAAATTCCCATTTTTCTATGTTAAAAACATGCATCTTGCTATGTTATGTAGGATGAAGAGAAGGATTGTGGGTATTTTCATTGGATTGACCCACCACTATTGAATAAGTGGTATAAAGAAAGAATGTATGAATTAGGAGCTGTTGCTAATGGGGGTGTAGCTATTCCTTTCAATAACCTTGTTAATGAAGGTGAAACACCTGTTGATGGCCCTATTGCCCCTGTGAATGTTGATGTCCCTATTGCCCCTGTGAATGCTCTTAAACCTGATAATCAAATTGCAATGCGTGAGAATACACATGTGCCCGGTAATGAATTTGGATTCTGCAAGTGGATGATGGTTTGTTTCGTTTGTTTCATTGTAGGGATGATGTATGCTTAGTTTAGTGTAAGTTGTAAGGTATTATGGTACGGTAGGGATGATGTAATCTTTTGGTTTGTTATCATGATGTAATGGATAAATGTTGTTGTTGATCATGTAATGTTTTGGTTAATAAAATGGCAATATGTTATTATGTTTTGCATAAATGGTGTACACTTGACAAATATAACCATGAAGTATGCACACTTGTGGCTAAAATACCATAATTAAACAACAAACTCCAATATGTCATTACCAACCATGTTAAGGGCATTCACAATGTTCCAATGTGTTTACAAAAGATGTACAAAATATGGCTATCAGTAATTTAAGGGCATTCACAAAAGATGTACAAAAGTAGCATTCACAAAAGATGCACAAAAGTAACATTCAAAAAATATGTACCAAAATACCCTTACTACCCTTAACACCCTAACACCCTAACCCAACTCCAATGCTGAATTTGCAGAAGTCCCAACACATCCCATCTTCTTCAGCTTGGTTTTAACAATCCTCTCAGAGGGCCTTCTTCTTTTCACAATCCTAAGGTGTATTGGTAATTCATGGGTGTCATTAATGCCTTCTTCTTCTTCTTCTTCTTCACTTTCTGGTTGTGTCTCAGGGATAATTTCTTCAGCCCCATCTTGTGTCTCAGTTTGAGGTGGATACTCCTCTTCCTATAAAACATCAAGCAATTAATAACATAAATGAATGTAAACATTAAGGTAATATAGAGGGTTTACCATAGACATAGGAAGAACTTGTTCAGTTGTGTCATTGTAATCATTGAGTTGTTTCATATGTGAATCTGTCAGACTAAGTGTATTTTTAATTTCTTCAATTGAATACCCTGATAGTTTCAAATCTTGCATTGCCTTCCATAAATGGACTAAATGAAACGACCCAATTTTCACGTCTAAAATTTCATTTTTAATTAATTGAATTGTAAAACATTTGTAATAAAACACCATCTGATCATATCATATCATAAAATATAACTCGTGTCTGAAAAACCGAATCATGAAAACAATAACAATGTCAGAGTACAAATCCCAGAGTAACTCAAAGTGCGGAAAACAATGAGTGTGTGTATGATGTGCCACTACCGCGCCAGCTCCTTCCCCCTTCGCTGAAGAGGCACCTGAAACCAAAACTGTAAACTGTAAGCACGAAGCTTAGTGAGTTCTCCCCATCGTCCACATACCATACAATCACATAGCATACATACTGCCAGGCATTTCTGGGGTGCCCGACCTACCCGTTACGGCCATTCTGGGGTGCCGACCTACCCGTACGACCATTCTGGGGTGCCAACCTACTCATGCGGCCATTCTGGGGTGCCGTCCTACCCGTGTCAAGCCATTCTAGGGTGCTGACTACCCTTCGGTCCTAACAACCAAACCTCGGGGACTATTTCACCCCTACTACTACTATAGCATATATCATGGCATAACCTACTGTTAGACATATCTGGGGTGTCCGACCTACCCTTCGGTCCTAACAACCGAATCTCGGGGACCATTCCCCCTCCTACTACCTCTATCTCATATAACATATCATCCTAGCAGCTAATCATATCATAACATACTGTTAGGCATATCTGGGGTGCCTAACCTACCCTTCGATCCTAACAACCGAACTCTATCACTATCACATATCATATCATGTTAGCATATAACAATCAGGTGTAACGACGTAAATTTTCAAAATATTTTTCATTTCCAAAACCAAAATAAGTATCACATCACAATTTCAAATTCACAAATCCATAGTGTTTTGAAAACAATCCCAAGATCTCTAGACATAATAAAACTCCATCGGTGTGTGTACGTGTCACTTCGGCGCCTTTCCACGGTCCTCGCTAGTACCTGAGACATCAAACACAACAACTGTAAGCATAAATGCTTAGTGAGTTCCCCAAAATACCACATACAACAAATACGCCACTCGAGGCTAAACACGACCCTCCGGTCGAGATGTCTCAGCGGGACCCTCCAGTCCCGTAGCTCGTTGGACCCTCTGGTCCGGTCATAGCTCGTTGGGCCCTCCGACCTGGTCTGTATCGTTGGACCCTCTGGTCCGGTCTGAATCGTTGGACCCTCTGGTCCGGTCTAAATGGTTAGACCCTCCGGTCTGGTCTATACAATTATATATCATACATATATCACATAGCACATAATCACATACATGGCACACAATCTCATACATAGCACATAAAACCCTCCGGTCAACTCATAATACCACTCTAGGTAACGTATAGTGAGAAGACTCACCTCGTGTAACTCGGTAACTCGTAAGTCTCGAAAATCTCGGACTCCGTGAAATAGGATCTAACCTCCGCCTAATCATATGAAATAAGCACTCGGCATCAACACATTTCCCAAGGCTAGACCATTCCCTCTCTTAACACTCTCATGAGGGTAAAAGACCATTTTACCCCTCACGTAGCTCAAATACCCTAAAGTTGACCAAACCCTAAAAGTCAACAAAACTCAACCCTTCGGGTTACGTTGCGCGTACCAAACATGTACGCCAAGCGTACCCGGTGCCTTCACAGAATCGGGGTGCGCCACCCCCTACGCCGCGCGTATTGGGATTACGCCCAGCGTAAATCCTGGTTCAGCTATTTCGTGGATTTTGGTCTTAAACGGTTAAGACAAGAACTCATATTCCATATCTGACTTCTCTAAGGGTTCTTATTCCATAAAGTTGAAACCGTTAAGCCTTTGCATGGCTGTAAAGGTCACCTTTTACTCAAAACACCTTTCCTCTTTCCATATTAAGACCATAACTCATGCATGACTCAAGATCCATGACCAAGATTGGATTTTTATGAACCCTCAACACAATATACACTGGGAAAGGCCAGATCTAAGCTTATGGAGACTCTTTGCACATAAAGTCTCCACCTTTGAAACAAAAACCCTAAAAACGGGTCAAAAAGCAAAACTCATGAAGAACAAGGAAAGCTTTGAGCTTTTTACCTCAAAAGCGATCTCCAACCACTACAGAACTCGGATCTCCAAGAGCACACTCACTCACTAAGGACGATGGAAGGCTCTCTCTTAGGGTTTCACTCACTGATATGGAGGCTGAGAAATGAGCCTTAGCATCCTTTAAATAGTGCACAAGACAAGAATAGGGTTTTGCATCTGGGCCGGGTATGCCCGACGTAACCCTGGGTACGCCCAGCGTACCTTGGCAACTCCGCGTCCAACTATAGGGAATGAGTACGTGCAACGTACCCCTTTGGTACGCCCAACGTACTCACTTGCAAGGCTTTTCCACACAAGGGCCAATCATGACAAATTGAGAAAAATAAGGATGGAATAGGTATACCTGAATCTCGGGGTTTTACAATTCTCCCCCACTAAAATCAGACTTCGCCCTCGAAGTCTTGCTCTGCAAATAGATCTGGATACTGCTCACGCATCTCTAACTCTGGCTCCCAAGTCATCTCGGACCCTCTCCGATGCTGCCACTGCACCTGAACCAATGACACCTCCTTGTTTCTCAAACTCTTGATCCTCCTACCCCGGATCGCGACCGGCCTCTCAACATAATTCAGGCTCGCATCCACCTAAATATCCTCCAATGGAACCACTGCCGACTCATCGACGATACACTTCCTCAGCTGAGACACGTGGAAGGTATCATGGATCCGATCCAATTCCGCAGGTAGCTCCAAGCGATATGCTACCCTGCCCACCCTCGCGACCACTCTAAATGGCCCAATATACCGGGGCCCCAACTTGCCCCTCTTCCTGAATCGTATTACTCCTTTCCAAGGAGATACCTTCAGGAGCACATAATCACCGACCTGGAACTCAAGCTCGGATCGCCTCCTGTCTGCATAACTCTTCTGGCGACTCTGAGCGGTCAACAACCTCTGTCTGACCTGCTGTATCTGCTCTGTCGTCTGAAGCACTATCTCTATACTGCCCATTACACGATGCCCTACCTCTACCCAACAAATGAGGGTCCGACACTTCCTCCTGTACAACAGCTCAAAGGGTGGCATACCAATGCTCGAGTGATGGCTGTTGTTATAAGAAAACTCAGCCAAGGGCAAAAACGTGTCCCAACTCCTGCCGAAATCCAATACACATGCCTGAAGCATGTACTCGAGCGTCTGAATCGTCCCCTCACTCTGTCCATCAGTCTGTGGGTGGTATGCGGTACTAAAATGCAACCTCGTACCCAACTCTTCATGGATTTTCTTCCAGAATCTGGAAGTGAAACGCACATCTCGATCTGACACAATCGAGATAGGCACTCCATGCCGCGATACCACCTCTCTCACATACAGCTCTGCTAATCTCTCCGCAGAAGAACTCTCACTAATGGCGAGAAAGTGAGCGCTCTTCATCAAACGGTCTACTATCACCCAAATCGCATCGACACCCCTCGCCGTTCTCGGCAATTTGGTGATAAAATCCATGGAAATCTGCTCCCATTTCCACTCCGGAATCTCAAGTGGCTGCAATTTACCATGCGGTCTCTGATGCTCGACCTTAACCCTACGACAGGTTAGGCACCTCTCAACGAACCACACCACATCCCTCTTCATACAGGGCCACCAATACTCCCTCTTCAGATCCAGATACATCTTAGTGGCCCCGGGATGGATCGAGAACATCGATCTGTGCGCCTCCTCCATCAAGATGGTATGCGTTCCGCCTACAAACGGTACCCAAATCCGACCCTGAAAAGTCATAAGCCCTCGGCTATCGGTAACAAACTCCGACACCTACCCGATAACCCGCTCTCTCTTACGGTTCTCCGGTCTCACTGCCTCAGCCTGGGCCCCTCTAATGGTGTCCAACACCGGAGTCATCACCGTCAATCTCATACAAATATCCCGTATCGGAGCGCCCTCTACCCTATGACTCAGGGCGTCAGCTACCACATTAGCCTTTCCCGGGTGGTACAGGATCTCGCAATCATAATCCTTTACCACATCCAACCATCTCCTCTGCTGCATGTTCAGATTGGGCTGATCCATCAAATACTTCAAGCTCTTGTGGTCCGTGTATATCGTACACCGAACCCCATACAGATAGTGACGCCAGATCTTGAGGGCGAACACCATAGCCCCCAACTCTAAATCGTGAGTGGGATACCTCACCTCATGAGGCTTCAACTGCCTTGATGCGTACGCAATCACATGCCCCCTCTACATCAACACCGCACCCAACCCCGATATCGACATGTCACAATATACTACGAGATCCTCCATCCCCTCCGGAAGGGCCAACACCGGGGCTTCGCACAATCTCTGGCGAAGTGTCTCAAACGAAGTCTGCTGCTCCGATCCCCATGAAAAAGCAACACCCTTCCGGGTCAACCTGGTGAGTGGCACGGCGATCTTGGAGAAATCCTTGATAAATCTCTGATAATAGCCTGCCAACCCTAGGAAACTCCTGATCTCTGTTGGTGACCTCGGCACCTCCCAACTCATCACAGCCTTGATCTTGGCCAGATCGACCAATATCCCCTTCTGGTTAACGAGATGCCCTAGGAACTGGACCTCCCACAACCAAAAATCACACTTGGAGAATTTGGCGTAAAGCCTCTCCGATCTCATAACTCCGAGGATCTCCCTCAAATGCTCCTCATGCTGCTCTCTGGACCTCGAATACACCAAGATATCATCGATGAATACAATCAGCGAACGATCCAACATTGGCCTGCACACCCTATTCATGAGATCCATGAACGCTGCTGGTGCATTGGTGAGCCCGAATGGCATCACCACGAACTCGTAATGCCCGTAACGAGTTCTAAACGCTGTCTTCTGGATATCCTCATCCCGAACCCTCATCTGGTGATATCCCGACCTCAAGTCTATCTTGGAGAACCAAGACGCCCC